GACACCATCTGCGAGCCCACCCCACCACATCCACCCCACACATACTCTCTCTCACACACGTGCGCACACACAAAATCGCAAACACACGCACACACACAGATAGTCCGCCGCGCCACCGCCCCGTCCTCCGTTCCACCGCCCGTCCTCCGTCGCCACCGTCCGTCTGCCGTCGCCACAGTCCCTCCGCCCGATCTCTACATCTCTCTCCCGCCACACACACACACAAGTCACAGACCAGCACACAGAAAATCGAAACACACACACACAGTCAAGACTCAACATACAATCCGCCACAGCCCGTTCGCCGCCGCCGCCGCCGCCGCCGTTGCCATTGCCCTCCGCCCGCTATCTGCAGCTCTCTATATCTCGATCTCTCTCGCGCACATACAAAGAAAAACGACTCACGCACAGTCAAGGCTCGACACCCGTCCGCCGCCAGTCTGCTACTGCTCGTCCGCCGCCGCCACCACTCCTTCGCCTGCTCTCTTCAGACACCGCCGGCCGCCCGCTTCTGAAAATTCAGATGTACTTTCGTAGGTTCCGTCGGGGGATATCGGGTTCCGATCACCTCGAACGCGACCCCCCAATCTCGTGCTCACGACATCAGCCTTCACTGAAGCCCTACCTGCCGGAAAAACCAGTGAAAAATGGAGTGTGGGATTCGGCCTCTTATTTGAGAATTGGATTTTGTCTGGGGACCTATTTGCAAATTTGTTAGTTTTAGTTATATTCTAATTTAAACCATAGGTCAAATTTGTATTTATTGAAAGATAATAAAGAATTAATTTTTATATTTTGTTATATATTAAACAATAAATAATATGTTTAATAAAAATAATATAGAATAATAAATTAATATACAAATATTTTATCACAATAAATAAATTATGTAATAAAGATACTAAATGACAAGACATTTAGCTTAATTCGGTGTACAAGTGTATTTAATAAAACAAATTTTCGAATACACATAATTATTTTAGAATGTATAAATTAATGAACTCTATAAAGCGGAATGTCGCACTTTATAAAACAACACATTGCACTTTGTGAAACAATACATTGCACTTTATAAATTTATAAATATAATATTGTAAATTTAATAAATTTATTTATATTACCATTTAACACTTGTGTCAAATATGTAATTTACAAAAAATATATAATTTTATACTATTTTATATATATTTTAAAAGCATAAAATAATAAAAAAATAATAAATACAAATAAGATAAAATATTTATATAATATTGAACATGTTGCACATTATTTACTGACGTGTTGCACTTTTGTGATAGTGAAGTTGCACCTTATCATAACAACTACACGGTCATGTTAATTAGATTAATAATATAAAATATTAATAAAAAAATTATAAATACTAAATATATTGTGATTACATAAATAATTTGATAAGGGCACAGTAATTTTAAAATAAAATACACATCATTAAAAAAATTAAAAATTGAAATGCACGTTAATTTCCGGTCTCAATTTTGTTGAGACGATCTTCGGTCCTTACAGACTACACATAGCGGCCGAAAAACGTGCATATTAACGACTGTCCAGTTGCAACTTTTTGTATTCGAGATATTTTGTTTTAGCGTATGTGCCGACCAAACTGAATATAAATATTATATATATATATATATATATATATATATATATATATATATTTAAAATCCATATCAATGTAACTTTTAAAATTTAAATTATATTTTTTAACCATAATAATATACAAATATATTAAAATGCTAAATATATTTTTATAATAATAAATAACAAAATGTTTTAATTATTTAAGCTAATTCAATGTACAATTATATCTATTACAACTAGATTCCAAATACACATAATTTAGTTGTTATTGTATAAAGTAGTGCACTTCATAAAACAACACGTTGCACTTTATAAAACAACACATTACACTTTATAAAACGACGCATTGCACCTTATAAAACAACCTGATGCACTTTATTTAAGTTCGATTTACTTTTAAGAAACTCGATTATTTTGGTTTGATGTCAACTTTTCTTTTTAAACTGAAATAACCATACGAACGAACTATATTATTATTATTATTATTATTATTATTATTATTATTATTATTATTATTATTATTATTATTATTATTATTATTATTTATGTATGACGAATGCACAATAACATTAGACGAGTTGCACTTTAACAACTAAATGACTGCATAATATATACCAAAACTCGACCAACTAAATTTTTCAAAACTTTATATTTTTTGGGTCGATTAGATAATTTTTACTCGTAAAAAATATCAGTTTCAATTTACATATATAATGCAATATTATTCAAATTTTTTTATTATTATAATGCATTTAATATAGTGCATTTAATGTGTCATTATTGTGGACGAATTGATATTCATTAAATTATAAATTGTCATCCCTACATAACAATATCAATGTGTAAAATAAAAGTTCATAAATTGCAAATTAGTCCTCCAAATATATCTAATTTACCAAAACCAAACCCATCCCCAAAAACACCCACCCTCCATCGTCCTCAGCCACATCGCCGCTGCCAATCCACCGACCGCCGGAGTCGTCGTCAGTCCGCCGTATCTCGGCCAGAGTCGCCGTCAACCCGTGGCATCTCCGCCATCCTCGCCGCCGCTACATGGAAATCAGCCCAAAGAGCACAAATCATAAAAAAGGAACCATACACACTGCCGCCATCAACCTCAGCCACAAATATCGTCGTCGCCGATACACACTGTCGAAGGTCAGCGGTTGTTGCCGACGATATTGGAGCTCTCGTCGTCGCCGTGAGTTCTGGATGGGCTGACGGAATCGCCGGACGGTAATAGCAACCAGGAGGTCGACGGCGGCAAATGACAGACAGGGCTTGATGCGGTGGGGTGAACTGCCGGCGGACGGTGGTTGTATGTGATGTGCGTGAATGTCGCCGGTGTTGTATATTTTTCCGATGGCCTGTGGAGAGGTCATTCTGTGATGGTGCTCGTGTGTATGTGTCACAGAGAGAGAGAGGGAGAGGGAGAGCGAGAGAGATGACGAGATAGAGAGAGAGGAGAGAAATCTGTATCTTATGATTCATGTGGGTCCCACAGATTTTGGTGTATTGTGGATTACATAAATACCCCATGATGTATTTATTTTGGTCATAGATATTCATGTATTTACTGTTTTGCCATTAATGAATTGACCATGTTATTTGATTTTGACTTCATCATGTCCCTTGATATAATTGATCAAATGGTCCAAAATCATTCTTATTTCTTTCACTATCTATCATTCTCATATGATCCTT